TGCCACGCCAGGCAGCTCCAGGCACAGCCCCAGGACCCGCTGCGCATGCAGGTGGTGACCTGGGGCAGTGAGGACAGAGGACAGGTGAGTGTTCAACAGATACCAGCCCCCATCCTCCTCCTCAGCGTTGCAACTCCTCAGACCGACCCTGAGCACAGGACACCTTCTCCAGCCGCCACACCTTCAGCTCCGCCTATCCCCAACCCACTGTTCCCAACCTGTGCAGGGCTGGCTCCTCTTGTCCTTCTGGTCACAGCATAAATGTCACCCAGGAGACCTTTAGACCCCACCTAGGGTCCCGCCCCCTCCGCACCTGCTTCCTTTCCCCACAGCACTGATTGCATTTGTGCATCTGTCCATCTGCCCCTCCAGGCGGGGACCATGTGGGGCTTGCTCAGGGTGAACGCTCGGGCACAGACACTGGATGACCAATGAGAGGGTCTTGGAGCCCCTCCCACCTCTGAGCTGCTCACACTGTGGACATGGAGACTAATAATAAAAGGTGCATGTTGGGTCCAAGGCAGCGGGATGCCCAGAATGACCCCTGGGTGTCCCTTCCCTGCTCTAGCAGCTCCATTGGGCACAGCCCGCCCACTGGTGGTCAGCCACAGCACTGCAGCCCCAGGCAAGAAAACCAGAAAACAAACATACACCTTTGTTTGGATGTAGTCAAGGCAGCTGCTCTCCCTGGCACCAGAGGGCAAAGGAACAGGACCTGCAAGCTCTGGGGGCAATTTCTGGGACCCCAGAGCCCCTCTCACTCCCCTCTTTCTCCCCATTGTACTAGTTCATTCATGAGGCCTCCTCACCCCAGCCAGGGCAATAACTCCATACCTACTTCCAAATGAAGACCCCAAGGCTCCAACAAGGATGGCCTTGTCCTTGGTCCCCAATGAGTAGTCCGGTGCTTTGTCATGTTCTGCACTACCCAGGTCCCAGGACCTCCAAACCCCCAGGCTGTTCAGGACTTCAGGGGAGTATAAAGCATTTTCCAAGGACTCAGAGCACAGTGGGTCATGGATGGAGAGCCAGGAACAACAGACTCTTGTAGGAGCCCATGGGAGCCTCGGTGTGACACCATCCCCGTGCACCCCAATTTATAGAGGAATAGGCTGAGGCCTTCTCTCCTGTAGCCCCCTCCATGATAGGGGCAGTGGGTGTCTCCTCCTAGTTCCAGAAACCCAGAGTGAAGGATGCAGGTCTCCAAGTCCTCTCCACGCCGCCCTGGGTATGGCCCCGGCCCAGGCAGACCCCTGGGCACCTTTGGGACCCCCTGGCCATCAGTCTGGCATTTCTCCCCTCCCTAGGTTATGGACCCACCGGACATGTTGCTAGGAGACTAGATGCTCCTGATGGCTGGGCTACCTCCAGCCTCTTTCTGATTTCCCATCACCTGCACAGTGTGTACTCCTCTGAACACACTCCATGGGCCCCACCTGTGAAGTCAATGTGTGTGTACGTGCCTGTGCCCACGTGGGGATGCCCAGAGGAAAGGGCCCCACAAGGGAGGGGTGAACAGGGGTTCCCCCAGGATCTTAGGAGCTCTCATGCCCAAGATAAACCCCATGGAAGAATTGAGGCTGGCCTCGTACCCTGGAACCTTCCCGGCTCCTCGGGATTCTGCCCACCTCGTGGGCCCCGGGCCAGTCCCTGCTTTTCTCCTGGCCTCAGTTTCCAAATTGTACCAGGAGGGGTTGAACGCGGAACTGCGTAAGCGCGCGCTGAGCGTGAACGCAGTGCCGCGCTGCCTCCCCGCCGGATGGGGTGTGGCGGGGACATGCGGTCCTCCCTCCACCCGCGACGCCGGGGAGGGCGACCAGGCCCGGCGTGGCACTCACCTGGCAATCTACCATCATTCTCGGCCCTGGCAGCGCATCGCCGGCCCCAGGGTGGGGCCCGGGACTCGCAGAGGCCGCTCGCCTCGGCCCGCGCGCCGCACAGGGAGGCGCCCGGCTGCGAGGCTCATGGCGCGGCCTCCTGTCCCCGCCGGGCCCGGGGCTCCGCAGCCCCCGCCGCCAGCGCCGCTCCCATTGTCTGCGCCGCGCCGCCGGCCGCTCGGGCCCCGCCGCACGGTTCCGCCCGGGCTCCCGGGCAGCGGCCGGGTGGGCGGGGTCAGCCGCGGCCCCGCCCCGGCCCGCCGCAGGTGTGAGGGGCGGGCCCCGCCGGGCGAGCTCGGGGGCGCGCACCAGCCTGCCTCGGGTGTGTGCACCCCGCCCGCGCAGCTGGGCCCGGAATCCACGCCGGGCGCGCGGCGGGCCCGCGGACAGCGCGCACTCGCGAGCCCCGCCTTGCCGCGCGCGCGCAGCACACGGAGGACCCCGCTCGGTGGGTTCGGTGGCTGCCGCCCTCGCCGCCTGCAGCGTGCTTCCTACGCCTCCTTAGGACCTCGGGGCGCCCCAACCCAACCAGGCGAGGTCCGCCGGGTGCTGGGCCGTGAGAGCGTGGCGACCTGGAGACATGGGAGTCATCGCACATGCACCCCCATCCTTTCGTCCTGGTCCCCGTTTGCCACCTGCAGAGGCAGCTCGGTGGATGGTTGGGTCAGGGGAACCTGGAAATGGTAATGGACGCCGAGCGTAGGCAGCAAGGTGAGGCCGCCCGGTCCACACCCCCGCCCCTTTCTTCCTGTTAGGACCCCAGACACAGGGTCCATCTTATCCCTGCTGCAGCCCGGCTGGACGAAGGGGGCCAGAGCAGTCCAAAGAGGAGGGAGCTCCACCCCCATGTGGGTGAGTGTTGGGGGTAGTCACTGCTATTCGGGAGCCCCCTGGACGCTCAGTGCTTTCACCACTTTGTAGATGAGCAGTGGCCCTGTACTCAGCTCGGAGTGACCAACTCCCACCGTGAACTGGGAGCCCAGAATCCTTGCTCTTTGCTATCCAGCCCTGCGCTGACCATCAGAAAGCCTTGTCTTATGTTGGGGCTCCCTGGCCAGGGGTGGCCTGAGTCAGCCTTGTAGGGGAGAAGAGCCCCCACCTCACTCCCGGCCCAGCTTTGGGCCTAATGTCTCTCAGACCCAGAGCCTTCTCAGCCTTGGCCCCTGCCCCTGGGGACTATGGCTGACCCTGGTCCCCATCCAGGGCATAGTCCTTAGACACCAGTGACAGGACCCAACTGCTGGAACCTCACCAGGGTCCAGGCTACTTCCCTAAAAGGAGCTGAGGGCCTAGGCCAGGGATGCTCCATGGATGGGAAGAATTAAGGGGGTGGGGGGTGAGAACCAGCCTGACCTAGCAGAGGTGGGCGTGCCTGGAGACAGTCCCCGCAGCCCGCCTGACAGGATCAGATCTGACCTATGGGCACCAATCTTGTTTTTATTATTGCGTTTTAGAGAGAGAGGGAGAGGGAGAGAAACAGCGATGTGAGGGAAACATTGACCAGCTGCCTCCTGCACGCCCCCTACTGGGGATGGAGCCTGCAACCCCAGGCATGTGCCCTGACGGAGAGTGGTGCACAGGAGGATGCCCAACCAACTGACCACAGCGGCCAGGGCTGGGCACCAGTATTGCCAGAATAGATCAGTTTTGGGGGTTCTGAAGTTTTTTAAATTGCAGAGGTAAATGGACAAAGTTACAAATACGCCGCTGGGCTCAGAGACCACCCCCTAGGCTCCAGCGCAAGCCTTTGGGGTGATTGACCTGGGTTCAGACCCACAGTGGGGCCGGGCCTGCTCTTCAGCACAGCCCTGCTTCAGACTCTTGCCTCCCCTGAGGCAGGTCCAGACTGCCCTGGGAAGGTGCGCCGCACTGGGGACACACGGGCCACAAGGCCACTCTGTCCCTTTGCCCAGAAAGCACTCCAGCGCCTCTCCAGCCCCGGCTATCTCCTCACACTGGTCACTCGGCCTGCCCCACCCCTGTGATCACCAGCCAAACCACACGTTGCAGGAAGAGCGGGATCCAGGCTGGCACCCAGCTTTGCCAGGGGTGGCCAGGTAGAGGGGTCTCATCCTGATATGGCTAGAGTGCACCCCTTCCTGCCCTCCATCTCTCCTCTCCAAGGCAAAGATGCTGCTGCCACTGGGCCACCAAGCTCTGAGCCCACCCCTACCCTAGGGAGATAGAACCACCATGGGGCTCTCAAGTCCTTGGGGGGCCACGCTGGCCTCACAGGTCTCCTTCTGGGCCTCAGCATGCCTGCCAGTGGCCTCAGGGCTGAGGCTGACCTGGATGCAGGAGGGCTCAGGGACTGAGCCCACAGGGCGTCCAGCGGATGGGCTCTGCTGCTCCCCTCGACTCGCTGGGAATGTGGCGCTGGCAGCACACTGCACACCCCAGCCTCCCGGGAGGGCCGGATGAAACCCGGCCTGTCGTAGCAGCCAGCTTTAGCCCAGGGTTTCTGGAGAAGTACCCTCCCTACCCCCAACCCACGGGCTGCCTGTCTCACATGTGGCCAGCAGCAGACACGCAGACATACGGGTGGGAAAACCCTACTTAGGGCCTAGCCCATGCCATCTTTATTTTTGCCATCTTTATTTTTTTTTATTTTTATTTTTTTGGTATGTGCCCCTAGTGGGAACCGAACCTGGGACTCTCTGGTCCACAGGCCGACGCTCCAACCGCTGAGCCAAACTGGCCAGGGCATGCCACCTTTATTAAAACTGCCGCAACCTTCTTCCAAAGGAGGCAGCGAGTAGGGGAGGGTGGTCGCCATGGGGTGCAGCTGGACTGGAAACCAAAAAGCCCAGACTTGGTCCATTGCACAGGCTCACTCTGCGTGAACTGGCTCCGCGTGGCGAGGGGACATCAGTGCTGGGAGCCCTGCAGCCAGAGAAAGGGGACCTGCACACCTTTCACAACAGCAGTGACAAGTGCAACTCGAAGGGCAACGAGCAACAAAAGGGGGCGGGGGTGGGCAGGCAGGCCCGGCTGCTGGGGAGCCTCTGGGCCCTGCCCTCTCGAGTGACATTCGAGCTTTGCGTTCTCATGGGGGTACCGCCCTTTACAGTTTGTAAAGGCCCTCTCCTGGCAGCGAGGTAGGCAGAACAGGCAGGTCTCGGCTAAGGCTTAGAAGAAAGGCACTGGCAAGCCGGGGCGAGCTGGGTGCCCTCTGGGGCGAGCTGGCTGCAGGGCTTGGGTTCCCATCCATGGCAGCCCCAATTCTACCGTCAGCTCCGTAGCCAGTTGGTGTTCTTGTCCAAGGTAGAAAAGCGGATCAGCTTCAGGCTGGGTGGCCGGGGCTTCCTGTCATCCCAGAGGTACTCAGGGGACAGCACTTTGGAGGGTTTGTGTGAGATGAAGCGGCGGTTCAGGTGGCTCTCCTCCCGCCAGGCCGCCATTATGCCGTTGGCTTTGTCCGCCAAGATGGCCATGTGGCAGCCCCTGGTAAACTCGTACACCCTGTCCACTCGTCCCCCAAAGACTGCCCCACCATAATAGAAGTCCCCCTCGGTGTCTGCCACAAAGGCAGTGGAGACATGCCTGCGCTCATAGGGGAACTGCTGGCGGGGCACAGCGTAGTAGCCCGGGTGGATGGCGGCCACCAGGTCGCCCAGGGTCTCAGGGCCCCAGGGGTTCCGGAACACCATGTCCACATGGACGCAGAAGAGGTAGTCCACCTCCTGGTGCGCCCTCCGGGCGATGTGCTGGCTGATGGTCTCCATCCGGCGCGTGGACATCTCCTCCCAGCGGGAGTGCTTCTGGACGGGGATGACGCTGAGGAGGCGGCCGGGGCCCAGCGGCACCGGGGGAATGGCCTCGGGGTCGTCGGTGAAGACGTAGTAGCACACTCGATAGCCGCGCATGAAGAACTGCTCGGCCGACTCCAGGAAGTGCTGGACGAAGTGGGTGTACCTGGCGGTAAAAACCTGTCAACCAGGCCCCAGCAGCGCCACTGCCTGGGTCCCCCCACATGCTGGCACCACACGGGGCCTGGAGTCAGCCAGGCGGGGTCCACCTCTCAGCTCCCCACCTTAAGAAGTCACTCAGATCTGACTCTAGGGGTCTTTGTCTGTCAAATGCCCACAATCACAGCACCTAAGGCTGTCCTAAGAATGATTTTTTTTTTATCCTCAACCTGAGGACATTTTTTTTCCATTTTTTGTTCAGATAGAGTGGGAGGGAGAGAGGAAGAGAGAGAGAGAGAAACATCGATGTGAAGGGACACATCGAGTGGCTGCCACCCGCACGACCCAACCAGGGCCGGGGACAAACTGCAACCGAGGTACATGCCCTTAGCGGGAACCGAACCTGGGTCTCTCTGGACCGCAGGCCAACGCTCTAACCGCTGAGCCAAACTGGCCAGGGCTGTCATAAGAATGATTCTGATGATTGTTATACTCACAAACCAACCTACGTTTTACTGAGCACTTACTAAGTGCCAGGCCGGGTTCTAAGGGACTCCACCGCAATCCCACGTTACAGGCAGAGACACTGTGGCTCAGGGAGAGGAAAGGAGCCGAGAAGCAGTCAGTGGCTGCATCAAGGGAAGTGAGTGGTGTTGGGTGCTGGGGGCCCAGTGCAGGGGAACTACGTGGCCCCATCCTCCAGGCCACAGCTGATTGCACCAGGGGTCACCTGGCCGCAGGTAGGCCATCTACCATCTAGACAGTACTTTAGGCCTGAGGGTCCCATCATGGTCCCTCTCTCAAGCGGCCTAGCAAGGACCCAGAGGGAAGCTGCCCGGTGGTGGCCCCCATAGGAAAGGCCAGGTGGGGTCGGGAGGAGAGGGGAACAGGAGGAACCCAGAGAGCAGGCAGCACACGGTGTGGGGAGAGGGTCCTGAGGGTGGGGCCAGCTCAGCCTGGGTCTCTGGACCTGCTGGTGGCCTGACCACTATGTGAGGTGGTCTGTGGGGTCCCCTCCTTCGTACCTGCCTGGACTGTTCAAGGAGAGCAGAGAGAGGGGGAGGGCACAGGGGTCTCCTGACAAAGGCTTCTGCTGCTGCCTCACCTGGGCTGCCTCCCTCTCCCCTTCCATGCCAGGGCCAGGCCCCTTCCTCCAGGAAGCCCTCCTTCACCAGCACACTCTCCCCCCACCTTCCGCCTGCACAGCACCTGGTTCAGGGCCTTCCTGGTGCCTAGGCAGGTGCTGCGTCCAGGACTGGCCTCACCCCAGACTATAAACTACTCACCTCCCCACAGCGAACACCGCGAGCCCCGTGGTCAGGTTTAGCGGCTGGTAGATGCGCTGCAGAAGGTCCAGGTTGAAGGTGCCCTCAGAGACGATGGGTGCGAGCCAGGGCGTGAGCGTCAGCAGCTCTGTGGGCCTGGCAGCAGGGGAGGCTCAGGGAGCTGACACCCTCCCCTGTGAACACCTCAGGCCCACCTTAGCCCTGCCTCCCACACTGACTCCACCAGCTCCACCCCTGTCTCTGGGCCTCAGCATCCTCAGGTGGGAAATGGGGATTGTAACAGCTACTTCCCGGGGTGGGGGACCAGGAGTTAATGCACGCCAGGCACTGGCTAAGTGCCTAACAAACGGGTTGTGAGTATTGTCACTGATGATGGACCGAACACCTGCCATGCAGCAGGCACCGAGCCCTGCAGTCCATCAGCCCCGTCTCCAGCCTCCTGTGAGGTGGGTGTCATTATCATCCACCTGTGCAGAAAAAGCGCAGAGCAGTGGGGTGACCTACCCAAGGGTCACACACCTGTGACAGAGTGAGACGGGCGCCCAGGCCCCAGTCCACCTGAACGCCAAGGCCACCTGGTACCTCCACCGCCCCAACTTACTGCTCAGAGCTCTGTCCCCCCACTTTTCATGCTGTACCCAGGCCCTAATCAGCACCTACCTTTGCTCCAGCAGCTTGGGCTGAGGGTACTGTGACCTGCAACCGAGAACGGCCAGTGGTGAGGGAGGTGGCCCCCACCCCAGGGCCACGAGGGGGAAATGGCAGTGGACTTACGGGGCCACGGGCTGGAACGGCTTCTGCCCCCTGTACTGCAGCTTCATGTTGCTGGTGGATGGGTGATAAAGAGCCATCAGTGCCAGGCGGTGAACCCAGCACCCCCCGGCTCACACAGACTCTGTGAGCCTTCCCCATGCTCTGCTCCATTCTGCAGGGATACTGAGTGGCGGGGTGGTTGGTCCCAGAAAATATAACTCAGTAGAACCCAAAGATAGACAACTAGAAAGAGAAAAAAAAAAAAAAAACAGTAGCAAATAAGCTCAGCCAAGGCTGATGAGAGAACGCAAACAGGCCAAAGGGAGAAGGTGGCCAGGAAGAGGAAATGCAGGCGGTGGGAAGGCCGGGGGAAGGAGGGCCTCGCAGGAAACAGAGAAAGAAACCAGGACTCTGGTCTTAGATTTTCTCGTTCCCAGGAGGGGTCCGGGGCCAGTGTGGGTATGTGTGTGGTGTGCCCTGGCCCTTCTGGAAAGCAACCTGACAAGCTGGATCAGGAACCTCTCCACGTACGTCTCTGATCCAGGAAGTAAACGTATTAAACAGAAAGAACTTTTAAGATGGAAAAAGCTGCCCATCGGTGTGGCTCAGTGGACTAAGCGTCGTCCCATGGGACTGAGAGGTTCTGGTTTGATTCCCGGTGGTCAGGGCACATGCCCAGGTTGCGGGCTCGGTCCCTGGTAGGGACTGTGCAGGAGGCAGCCGATCAATGTTGCGCTCACACATTGATGTCTCTCTCTCTCCCTCTCCCTTCCTCTCTCTCTAAAACCAATAAATAAAATGAACAAACAAAAACCCTCCCATCTCCCCCACTCCATGCAGCCCACAGGGCCTCCGATTCTCCCAGCCCCATACTTACAAGATCTCTGGGCAGGGAAGATAATAGGGAACATAGGAGAATGGCAGCCAGTTCTCGACATACACCCTAGGAGGAAAAACACCGCTGAACAACTGCCCCAGAGGCTGAAAACCCACTGGTGCACATCAGTGGGAGTGAAGGCCCCAGCGGTGCATCTGCAGTCCCCGATCACCCCTTGGGTATGGCTGACCTCGGGGACAAAGCCTCTTGGTCTCCCAGCATGCAGTCATTAGTCACCTGTGAAGTCATTCATTCCTGGGGCAGGAGTACTCTTGACTCCAGACCCTGCACACAAGAAGGGGTGGTAGTGTGGTGAGGGGCAGCCCAGGGAACTTCAGAGAAGGAGCACACAGGGTGAACTGGGAGCATAAACAAGTTTCTCATCAACACAGCTAGAGGGATGGTCGAGGCAGAGGCAAGAACAAGTGCAAAGGCCAGGAGGCCAGTACTAGGCAACATTCAGAAGCAGTTTGGTCCTACTGGGGTTGGGGGACAGGTGTGCCAGGAGAGGTGGGCATCCCCTGAAGGGGTCAACTTTGGGGACTGAGATGCCAAAAGAGGAGTTTGAGGTGGGGCTGGAGGACTCCACGGGGCATGCTCACCACAGAACGCAGAGGGCCGTGCCCAGCACCAGGCAGAATCCCAGACCCAGAACCAGTCTGTGGCAGCGCATGGCTGGGGGCGCAGCACCTGAGCCTCAGCACCTTCGGAGGGTGGGTGTTCCTTGGCAAATCAGCCCTCCAATCTTGGAGCCTGTGTCCGTGTGGGGAACACCTGCAAAGAAACGTTCCTTATCTGGAGGACAGTGGCCTCAACCTTGTTGCCCCGCCCTTCCCTGGGCAGCCCCACCAGGGGAATGTGGACCCCAGGCCCAGCTGCTGCGCTCAGCGCTCAGAGGAAGCCTGCAGCTGTGCACTGGAACTGGCACTCGGGCCTGGCCGATCGCCCCCCAGCCTGGGCTCTCGGGTCTCGCTCAAAATTCCTCCCACGACGGTGAAGAGAGGACCCCTAGACAGCTCGAGGGCGGGCCGTATGGGCAGGACCTGGAGAAGGGTTCCCCAGAGCAACTGGGAAGGCACCGGAGCCTGCACAGCCCGGACCGGCCATGATTCCCCGGGGGTGGTGGGGGTGCGGTGGGAGGTGAGGCCTGGCCTCCAGGGGACCGCGGGAACGTGCTCCAGCTCTCACTGGCTCCGTAATGTACACCAAGTCACTGTCCCGCTCCCACCACAGCCCCAGGATCTGCCGGGATAAAGGGGCCTGGGTTGGCGGAGAAAGGACAACACGCACCGCCCCTGAGGATGACCCGCGGGAAGCGCTTGGCTTGTTCCGGCTCACAGCGAGCACGGGACCGCAGGCAGCAGGCGGGGTCCGCCCGAGGTCAGAGAGAGGTCCGGAGCGGGACTTTCGGGGGCCGCTGGCATGCCAGCTCCCTCTGCCTCCCTCTGAGGGTCTCGGTTTCCCCACCCGGGCCAGGGCGCACAGCGTCCTCCAAGTTCCCGCCTCGACTTCAGTTCCGCTAGACCTTGCCTCCCGCGGGGTCCAAGATGCCGCAGCAGCTCGCCGACGCAGAGCCAGCCCCGAGCCCGGTCCCCCCCAGCCCCGGGTCGCACCCAGGAGCCTGCGGCCGGAGAGCGCACCTCGATTTCCGCCCGTCAGTGCGGGCTCGGGGCTCGGGGCGCCCCTCCTCAGCCCGGCGCAGCGCGGGAACAGGGTGGGGCGGAGGGAGCGCAACTGTTCCTTCCGAGTGCAGACGCACCCCCGGCAGTCAGACCCGCGCGGGGACGGACGCAGGCGCTCACCTCGACCCTGAGACCGGGACTTGATCGCCAGGGCCCCGGCTTTGCCCCTTGGCGAATCGGGTCCAACCAAAGGCCAACTGCCGGAGGCGGGTCCGGGGAGGTCCGCGAGAAGGCAAAGGAGCCACTCGCCTCTGCCACGGCCGCTGCTCCTCCCACGGCCGCTGCCCCTCCCACGGCCGCAGCTCCTCCCACGGCCGCTGCTCCTCCCACCGGCCGCTGGCCGCTGCCCCTCCCACGGCCGCTGCTCCTCCCACGGCCGCAGCTCCTCCCACGGCCGCTGCTCCTCCCACGGCCGCTGCTCCTCCCACCGGCCGCAGCTCCTCCCACCGGCTGCAGCCCCTCCCACCGGCCGCTGCTCCTCCCACGGCCGCAGCCCCTCCCACGGCCGCAGCCCCTCCCACCGGCCGCAGCTCCTCCCACCGGCTGCAGCTCCTCCCACGGTCGCAGCCCCTCCCACGGCCGCAGACCCCGCCCCGGAGCCCCAGCACGTGCCGAGTGCCCTGGCCTGCGCCTATCCCTAGTTGTCTATTTGGTCTGCGCCCTGGGACAAAACAGGCCCAGCTCTGGGCACTCAGCGCCAGGCCTGAGAAGTCAGAGAAACGATTTTGGGGGAAAAACGTCAATGTTTTTAGAGGAGCAGGAAGCAATCACAGTTAGGAAAAAGCCGCTGGACGTCACACCGACTCTCAGTTTAGGGTCACTCCTCCTTTGCTCCGGTACTCTGAGCCTGGCACCGGCCTGGGCGACCGGGAGCGCTTCCGCATCTCCTGGGGCCTCTGTTTCCTGCCCTGTGAATAGGGTTGGCCGTACTTTCCTCACACCCAAACTCCAGGAGCCTCTTAACGCTCACCAAGGGTCGCCCAAGCACGGTTGGAGGCCCTTGAGGCAGAGGCCTCTGCCTAGGTGCGGAGAGAGATGGGGCATACGAGGAACGAAAGAGAAGGGGCCCTAATGGTAGCAAATGTAGCAGTAAGGGGTGGCGTGGGGGGACACCAGATACGGAGAAACGGCATGGAAGACAAAGCAGTTGAGGCTGCAGGTAACAGGGATGCTGCTTGAAGTCGCAAACTCAGATCTGCCTGGAGCCTGGGCACAGCCTCCCAGGTCCCTCGGGGGCTTACTGCCTGGGTCCTTAGGGTTTTCCCTTGAGGACCACTGGCTCCTGTAAGGCCTGTTTCCCCAGTGCCTGCAGGTTCCTGGCAGAGACCTGGGGAGCTGGTGAGAGCTGGCTGACAGGTCAGGCTGCCATCTGGTCTGGGACCAACTGGTTTGTTTTTCTCGCTCCGTCTAAGTTTGCAAAGTTCCTTGGTGTACCTTTTGGACACTGGTGCCTCCTCAGCAATAAAGAGGTGAGCAGGATGGGCAGACTGAGCACTCTGCCAACTGGGCACAGCCCGCTTCTGCACCAGCCCCACTCTGTCCTCCTCTCAGCTCTCGGACGTAGGTGCAGGCTGGCCTCACTCGCTCTGGCCACGCTGGGCTCTCCAAGGACACGCCCGGCTCTTCCGGATGAGGCTCCGCTCCAAGGCTCGGCTCCAAGGCTCCAAGATTAGGCTGGATTCCATGGCTAGCACTGGTCTTGAAAGAGGTCACACTGCACACTGACAAGTGACACGCTTTGTTCTCATGCGGGCAGTGGCGACTGACAACGCGTCTCAGGTCTGAGCGCCAGGCTGGCCTGCAAGGGACAGACACTCCTCCCACCTCTTCCTTCCGAAGTCCCCCCCCCCCCTCCCGGGCCTGGTCGGAGAGCAGCGCTGCGTGGGCTGGTCTCATCGTGTACACCGACTTCCACGGAGTTGTCAAAACACATTCACAGACGTCCCACGGCGTTCCTACACTCAGGAGCAAAGACCTTTTATCAGAATGGATTCTATCGCCCTGGCCAGTTTGGCTCAGTGGTTAGAGCGTTGGCCTGCGGTCCAGAGAGACCTGGGTTCGGTTCCCGCTAAGGGCACGTACCTCGGTTGCAGTTTGTCCCCGGCCCTGGTTGGGTCGTGCAGGTGGCAGCCACTCGATGTGTCCCTTTCATGTCGATATTTCTCTCTCTCCCCCTCCCACTCTATCTGAATAAAATATGGAAAAGTGTCCTCGGGTGAGGATTTAAAAAAAAAAAAAAGGGGTTCTATCTGGGGCTATGCACAGTTCAAAAGGATCAGATCCCTTTGAGAGTCCAGAGTCCATTAAACAAACCGACCCGGGCCATGGAGAAGCCCCGGTGTGCCAAAGGTCGCCTTACAGGACAGGACCCTCAGTGAGCACCCTTGGCCTCGGAGCCAGAAGTGGGAAGGGCCCCTGACTCGCGAGGGGGCGGTGGCTGTGAAGTCACTGTCCCTCCCTGAGGCAGGCCCCTCGGTCCTGGTCCTGCGGGAAGGAGAGGTGGTGCTGTGGGCGCCGGCTGGGAGTTCTGCAAACATGGTCTGTGCTCGCTTCCAGATGGCCAAGGATGGGCTTCTGCAGAAGGAGTGTGAGACCTGGGAGACGAACACAGAACAAAACACACTGGTCACCACGGAAACTGAGGGGCACACAGGGGAGGTCCGCTCACCAGGACGGCAGGTTGACGTCACCTGAGGGCAGCAAAGAGGAGACAGGGGCTCTCTGCAGAGGAAGTGCCCCCCTGGAGCAGGCCGTCCTGCCCTGCGTGTTCAGAAAGTGAGGCTCCGGGGAGGCACCCCCAGCCCGGAGCACTAGTGCAGACTTGGCTGTGGGGACTCCAGAGGCAGAAAACTGACCCTTGTCCTGGGGCCACACTGCCAGGGGTACATGGGGGCAGCCTCTCCCCTGAGGCCCAGGCTCCCTTCTGTAAAATGGGAGCTAGCTCAGTGCACCCCAAGTGACTCGGCTGCATCTCTGCTGCTGCGGAAGGGACAGCATGTAATCTGGTCTCAGGCATGTGACCTATCACTGCTCCTGGGCTCTGTGCCAGGGGCCTGGTGGCTGGATAGAAGAGCTGGGTTATATTGGGGGCCCTCACCAGGGTCACTCCCCTGCTGCACTCTGCTCTAGGCACTGTGCCGAGTGCTTGGTCAATCACAAGTACCCCATTTGTCCCTGCCATGGGAGCCATCATTTAGCATTACCCCATTTTACAGAGGAGAAAATTGAGGCCCAGAGAGTTGAGGTAAATGGCCCCAATCACAGGGCTGATCAGCAGAGGAGCGGAGACCCCAGCACTTCCTGAGCCCTTGCTCAGCCTGAGACCCAAAGGAGCCTTCCCCTGCCCACCTGGGCACTCACTTGACCCCGAGCTTGATGATGGCCTGTTCTTGACCTTGCTGGGATGGGGTCTCCAGCTGGCAGGACAGGCTGTAGGTACAGGACAGGCTGTAGGTACAGCTCCTGTGAGCTGTCAGGAGCCACGCTCAGGTCTCCCAGTGTCTGCCCAGCAGCTGGAGTCCAGGTGCCCCAGGAGTCGCCACGCAATAGGGCTGACCAGGAGCCATGGCTGCAGGCTCCCTGGAGCTGGCCCCCAGCGACACTCTGCCCAGCCCTCATCTAGCTCCTGCCCCACCTTGCCTCTCATTCTGCTGAGCCAACTGCAGGGCTCGGAACCCCCCCAAATTGCTGCTTGGGCTCAAGATCAGCTGTCACCTGGAGGAGCTGCTCTCCCTAATTACTTTGATTTCCTGGAGGAAGGACAGGACGCAAACATAGCCTGGGGGGGTGCTGCAGGGCTGGTGGAGAGCAGGTCCTGAGTCTGTGCTCACGTGGGACTGTCCTTCCTTCAATTCCATCCAGCCCTGCCCCCCTTGGAGTTGGGTTCAAACACCCCTCCTCCAGGAGGGTGTCTTTAATGCCAGCTCCCCCCCCCCCATGGACAGGTCTCTCCTGTCTGAGTATCAGACTCTCCCAATCAGTCTAAGACACCGGATGGAGCCAGAGAGGGTCCTATCCAGTGGGCCTCTCATTTCCACAGCTGCTCGCCTGCGTCTTCTGTAAGTTGATCAGATTTCCCTGCTAGGCAGGCAGACAACATGCATCAGCCCTGGTCGGTGTGGCTCAATTGGTTTGGCGTCATCCTGCGCATCAGGAGGTTGCCAGTTAGATTCCTGGTCAAAGACACATGCCTGGGTTTCAGTCCCCAAAAGGTGCTGTGCAAGAGGCAGCAGATGGCTGTTTCTATCTCTCTCTCTCCGTTTCCCTTCCTCTCTCTCTAAAAACAAATTTTAAAAATATTTTTAAAAAAGAAGAGCCCTGGCCGGTTTGGCTCAGTGGTTGGAGCATCGGCCTGCAGACCAGAGAGTCCCGGGTTCGGTTCCCGCTAGGAGCATGTACCAAAAAAAAAAAAGAAGAAGAAAGAAAGAACCCCCAGCGCCCCACGCACCCTCAGCCCTTCTCACCCTGCACTACCGCCAGGACCCACCAGGGGGCAGGGCACGCCCAGAAAACAGGGCTTGGAACTAGGGCTCCTGGGGAGTGGGGCGTGGGAGTGAGGCCGGGACCCCCTAGCCTGACCCTCTCTGACCATAGACTGAGGACCCTGGCCAGACTCACTTCTGCCTGCTGTCTCTGCATGTGATCAGGGCTGACTCCCTTGTCATTCTGGCCATAGCAAACGTCATGTAGTAAGGACTTTCGGACCCTCCAGCCCAGTGGGACGCCACTCCTCCCAGCAGCCGTTTTCAGTCTGGCGGTGCTCTTTTCCTTCCCTGGTCTCTGACTTTGTGCTTCTGTCTGTCTCCCTCCAGACTGAGCTCCTGGTGGGCAGGGGCCGCTGGGTCGTTCCCAACTCCACCCTTGGACCCATCAGGGCTTCTGCGCGGGGGGAGGGCTTAGTGCTTAGCTGCGGAATGAGTCAGAGGAAGGGTCCTCCTGCTTCTGGCCAGCTCAGACTTGCAGACGAACGCTAGTAATAGGAGATGCACGTTGGTTCCGAGGCAGGGGAACCGCCAGCATGACCTCGGCAGGACTCCTCCCTGCCCCAGTTCATTGCATCCACCTGCGAGGCTGCCCCTGGTGGCCACCCCTGGAACTGCAGACCCAGGCAAGGACACCTCAAAGCAAGACTGGTTCCCCAGGTTTCCAGTGGGACCCACAGGCACCGCACACAGCATGAGGGACCTCGGATGCTTCCTTTCCCGTCTCTCCCTGTCTCACCACTGGTGTTGTCTTCACTCATGAA